CTGTGGTTGTTCAGTTAAGTTGGACCTTCATTAGTCTGGGTTACCTTTTCTTGTAGCAGATGTAGGAGATCACAGCGATGCAGCCCAGCAGCAGAAGAACTCCACACGTGATACCGATGATCTCCTCAGGCTGTGTGCGGACCTGAAGGGTCAGCACAACATGCTCACAGCGCGGTCCTGAGAACATCGGGGCACACCTGAGGAGCCATAAACATTCGTTTACTGTTTTATAATTAAAATGATTCATTCACAGGTAAATCTACCACTATGAATTATTCAGTATCTACTATAAATTATTCAGCATCTACTATGAATTATTCAGCATCTACTATGAATTATTCAGTATCCACTATACATTATTCAGTATCTACTATGAATTATTCAGTATCTACTATAAATTATTCAGTATCTACTATGAATTATTCAGTATCTACTATAAATTATTCAGTACTATGAATTATTCAGTATTTACTGGTAAGTGTTGAACAGTAATTTGAGAGGATTGTTTCTGTTGGTTCTTACTGGCAGGAGGGTTCGTTCAGGTCCGGTGCGTAAGAACATGTACCGTGTATACAGTAAGAGTTATGTTCAGAACCGCACGGACGCTGCATGGCCAAAACCCGCGGCTTCTCGCCTGTACATACACAAACACACACACAAACACACACACAGACACAAACACACACACAAACACACACACAGACACAAACACACACGCAAACACACACACAAACACAGACACACACAAACACAGACACACACACAAACACACACACAGACACAAACACACACACAAACAGACACACACACAGTTAGATGAGTGTGAACTGAACTGATTTATTAGCTGAATCTGTTTCCTGTCCTTTTAAAAATCCTGATTTTCTCGGTTCTTTTCTTGGACTCTTAGATGTTCAGTTTGGGCTCTTTAGACTGTATTTTCAGACCCTGTTTAAACTGTGTTTGACTTTCTGAATATAGAACATCCACCCACATCTGGGACTGTTTATATAAATAATTAGTAAATAAAAGTCAGAACTATGATTAACTTTCACAAACAGACTCATTCTGAAACCATCTGCAACCTCCGAATCCTTTTTATGACATTAAAGAAATAAAGCTGTGATGATTCTGACCGTGTGTGAGCAGCTCCACGCTGTGTGTCGTGTTGGGTTCTGCTGCAGGTTCTGCTGTTCTGCTGTAGAGCAGTAACACTGCGGCCACTGCAGTAACAGCTGGAAGAGATGAAACAGAAGAGGTTGAGTTGTGTCGTGATTCAGAGATGATTTGACTCTCAGTTCTCTAACGGAGACACGACAGACATCTGTTTTTTCTCTATCAGCTCCAGTGATGTTATCTTTAGCCTGTGTGTGCTAAAATAAAGAAAGGCTGCAGTTGCAAGAAAAACTGCTCACTAATACGAGTGGATTCAAATAAGGAACACAATCACAAAGCAACAGTAAATTATTAATCACTCAATATTTAACCACTTAAATAGTGAGGGTCCACTGGTGGGCCCAAAGGTTTATTACGCTTCTGTAATCTAAGAATAGCTCAGCCAGTTCACACTGAAGTCCCTGTAGGTACTGAATAATCAGCCTCAGTGTGTAATAAGACTGAGATTTTAAGGGGACCTCAAACCGAACAGTGAGACAGATGTGTGTGCAGATGTTTCAGCCACAATTCAACAACAGAAAGAAATCTTTTCAAGCATAACCTACTCAGATAGTACAGCATAAAACCCCCTTTTAAGTAAACATTGGTCTGGCGTAGACTTATGGAAAAAAGAGAATTAAGTTACTTTAGATCTGCCCAGTTGAGGAACGTTATGTTTGTGTTGGGACTAAAATGCCGGTTCTGCCACGTAGACAACAAAGCAGCTCTGTAATCACTCTGAGTAAAACTGTGGCTCTCAAGTTAAAATCTTGAAATTCATTTTATTTGTTTTTCTGTTTTTACATTGTTTGAAAACACCAGCTGTTCTTTACCCTCATGATGACTGGACCAGCAGAAAAGCTGTAAAACCAGCCTGAACAAAAGCTCATTACATTACATTAGAACACTCGCTCTCCTTTAACCCTTCAAATGGCCTGATTCCGCTGGTGGGCCCAGGGTTTTATTACACACCTCTATAATCTAAGAACAGCTCAGCCAGTTTACACCGAAGTCCCTGTAGTTACTGAATAATCAGCCTCAGCGTGTAATAAGACAGATTATAAAGAGTTAAAGCTCCTGCTTCAGAGACGGTTTCATTTCCAGAGTGTTGGTGTAAAAACGTGACTTTAGACGTAAATAAAGTGTAAATATGTATAAAATATATATATAAATAAATATAAAATATGAGCTCACCATGCTGCAGATTCCTCCCCACACACTGGATCATTGTCTGGACTTGGTAAGAAGTGTTTGAGCAAAGTTAAAGTGAGCTCAGGAAGTTCCTCTGCAGACGTACAGTCCAGTGGAGTTTCGTCCTCATTTATAGCGTTTCCTAGCATCACTACGG